AGAATTTGTCAAAATTTGAATTTGCACTGTCTGTCAAATATGTAGATGAGAAAAGTCTAGAAATTATATTTGGACATGATATCAACAATACTGTTTTATGTTGCCTGTGGTTTCATTAAAATCTTCAAAAACATGTTTTAACAAATTAAATTATCTAAGAGCTAATGGGAACATTTTCTTGTTGACATGATTTGTCACATCACTTGATATATCAAAGTATGATTGTTGGTAAGATCTGACAGAATGAGCTCTACATTGTCAATGTTAACCTTTACTCTTCATATGACTTCCAGTTCTTCTTTCATAGAGGTGATGATTTTTGCCAAGTAACATTCTCTTTCAATGTTTCAGCATATTTTTCCATAGCTACCATGAGAGTTATTGTTGTTAAACTACCGAACAAGGAAAAATCGATCTAAACCTGGTGTGATGTGGGGAAATTATCTTAAAGCCCTGGTAGACTCCAAGTATCAATACATACATAAGCAAACTATCCCAGAGGACACAGAAGGGAAAGGGCCTACCAACCAAATTAAGATGCTTAACACAGATGTATCCATTTAAAACACACAAAAAGCAAGGGAGAGAGTTGGAGTAAGTTAACACACAGGGTGCAAACAAGTATAAGGACCACACTGCCTGAATGTTCAAACATCATCTGCTTTTCACCTCATCTGCCTTCCCTGATGATGATGGTATCATTATGAGAACAGGGCCACAGTTTGAGCAAGGGGCCCTACAGACAGGAGTCCCTGGGAGGTTATAAAAATCAGGAACACTTTGGAAAAGAGCCTGAACAGCCATGGCTTTATTTGCCTTTCCTGGGTTATATGCATGTGGGGGTTAGAATGAGAACATAGTAAGTTTCACTAATGAGTGATCTTTGGAGAGGTGAGCCTAGTGGTATATGATCATAATACGGTCTTTTCATCTCTTTCTATGTATCAGTAATACTCTTGTTTGTTACAACACAGGTTTTCTTTATTCTGTCTTTAGCAGTCTTACAGATTACAAACTTACTTGCTATTTATATTTAACAAAATTGTATCAACTTTGTCTGTTTCCCAAGCTACTTGTTTATTTACTATCTATACTTAAAATATCCTATGAGTTTTGCCTCAATCTTAAAACCTACCAGGTTACTATCTATGAATTTCATCTACCTTGTTATTCTTCTTGTCTTTACAGAAGAACTGAATTATTTTCAAAATACCTGTAACAAAAAACACGCATTACAGGTGGCATATGCTAACAAAAAACATATAGAATTAAATGTTTTATGGGGACTTCCCTGGCGGTCCAACAGTTAAGAGTTTGCCTTCCAATGCAGGGGGTGCAGGTTCAATCCCTGTTCTGGGAGCTAAGATTCCACATGCCTTGCAGCCAATAAACCAAAACATAAAACAGAAGCAATATTGTAATAAATTCAGTAAAAACTTTAAAAATGGTCCACATCAAAAAATTTTAAAAATCGTAAAAAAAAATGGTTTATGAATACTTTGATGATGACTGAATTCTTACTCTTATTCTTGGCCCTAATTTTAGACCTACAGTTCACAGCACCTAGCATACATTCAGTTAGTGTAGTTACACTGAACTGGTATTTGTTGTTCAGTATTTGCTTCTTCAGTAACCTAGAGTGATAGAGAAAATGGAAGACTGTAATCCAGTTGTTCTCAGAGGTGAAGGAGAACACAAATGAATAAGAAAAGAAGACAAAACCCCAAAATCAACCACTCAAGTGCATTAACAGAAAACAAAAACCAGAACCTTCCTGGATGGGCTGTCCCTGGCTAGACTTCTTAAACAGCGTAAAGCTCAACCTCATTCATTCACCACAATAGATTCAAGCAAGATTATATCAAGATTGTTCACTCTAAGGCTCTAAATATTTTATCACATTTTACTTAAAATTTAGATGACATAGCTTATGTTACCAGCTACTACCTAGCACAATGACTAGCACATAGCAGATGCCCAACAAATATCTGCTTTATGTACAAAGGAATCAGTTCTTCCTATTAATGACTGCCAAGGAAAATCTGAAGAATTCTCCTTCTAAAGAAAAGTACTTCTAAAGGAATGTTTTTCAAAACTCTGTGGTTACCCTAGTCATAAATTATAACTGGGCAATTATGTAGTTGAATCATCAATCAGATGTAAAAGAAAAGCCCTCTCAAAATAGTAGGGGAACTAAAAACCCAAACAAGATGTTCAACTGAAGACTAGATTGAAATAAGTATTTTTAAGTGAATGAGAGCCAAAAAGCTGGTTGTTCTGTCCATGAATGGGTAAATTTACATTCTGTTAAGATGAAGAAAATTCAGAAAAACGGGGGGGGGGTGGTAAAAAGCCCTTTCCAAACTTTCCAAACTGTCTTTTGAAAAGTAGGATAGGGACTTCCCTGGTGGTGCAGTGGTTAAGAGTTTGCCTGCCAATGCAGGGGACACGAGTTCGAGCCCTGGTCAGGGAAGATCCCACATGCCACGGAGCAACTAAGCCAGTGCGCCACAACTGCTGAGCCGGCACTCTAGAGCCCGCAAGCCACAACTGCTGAGCCCACGTGCCACAACTACTGAAGCCCATATGCCTAGAGCCCGTGTTCTGCAACAAGAGAAGCCACTGCAATGAGAAGCCTGCGCACTGCAATGAAGAGTAGCCCCCGCTCACCGCAACTAGAGAAAGCCCGTGCACTGCCACTGGAGAAAGCCTGTGCGCAGCAACGAAGACCAACACAGCCAAAAAAATTAATAAATTAATTAATTAATTAAAACAAAAAGAAGCATAATTTTTTAAAACATTCATTATCTCATAAATCCTTACAACTTCCACCTGCAATAAGCATTAACCTCCATTTACAGGTGAAAGGCCCATAAAAGTTGCTCATGCTTTCATAGCCAATAAAGTGACAAAGCTTGAACTCAAACCCAGTTCTAATGGACTCCCATGCCCCCAAGAGCAAGCCCATGCTTTTGACTTGTTATGTCGCCTCATTGATTATTGAATAAACAAATGAAATCCATAACTTGAATCAAGTTGATTATCACTCCCTTTTGAAGCATTCCTAGAATCTATTTTTGATTTATTTTTTCAATGTAGTAAAACAGACATATACAAAATTTACCTTTTTAATCATTTTAAAGCATACAGTACATTTGCATTGTTGTACAACCATCACCGCTATTTATCTCTACAACTCTTTTCATCTTGTAAAACTGAAACGCTATGCCCATTAAGCAATAACTCTTCATTTCCCCCTCCCACAACTCCTGGCAACCACCATTCTACTTCCCATCTCTATGAATTTGACTAACCTAGGTACCTCATATAACTGGAATCATCATCATTAGTCCTTCTGTGACTGGGTTATTTCACTTTGTATATATGCTCAAGATTCACCCATATTGTAGTATGTGGTAGAATTTCCTTATTTTTTAAGGTTGAAAATACCATTGTGTGCATATACCACATTTTGTTTATCCATTCATTCACTGAAGGACATTTGGGTGGCTTCCACATTTTAGCTATTGTGAATATAACGCTGCTATGAACATGGGTTTACATGTATATCTTCCACACTGCTTTCAATTCTTTTGGGTATATAACTTGTCTTAGTCTGCCCAGGCTGCCATAACAAAATATTATAGACTGGATGGCTTGAACAACAACAAAAAATTTTTTGGAGGCTGGAAAATCCAAGACTAAGATACAGTTGATTTGGTTCCTGGAGAACCAAATGCTCCCCCTACTACCCCACCTCCACATGAAGACACAGTGAGAAGGCAGCCATCTACAAGCCAGGAAGGAGGCCTCACCAGAAACCAAACCTGACAGCACCTTCATCTTAGATGGTATCAGCCTCCAAAACTGTAATAAAATAAATTTCTGTTGTTGAAGCTAACCAGTCAGTGGTATTTTGTTACGGCAGCCTGAGAAAACTAATACAGAAGTAAACTGCCTTTTTTCCATTAACCTGAGCTCACAAAGTGACAACCGGAATGTTAAACAAACAAACAAACAAAATCAGCTGACAAATACAAAGACCTCATCTCCTCAGGCCACTGCACACAATATTTTACAACCTACAATATTTTAATACTATGATTAAATTTGAGCTTTGGAAGTATGCAGGATAATTATACAGTGTATGTCTAAATCTAATAAAAGTTAGTTTAAAAAACCAGAAATTATTCAACCTTTGTTTGTCAATTTTCCACTTCTCTGGCCCATAATTACAATTCAAAGGGAAAGCATTAATCAATAAAAAAATCAAAATGACCTGAGTCCATCAGAGTTGACCTCTGACTGCAGTTCGTGGGATTTTGAGCTAGTTTACAAATCATAGAGGTAAGAACCAGAAGTCTGTAAAGCTTTTTCATGTCCTTCATAATTGGAACTTTAAATAGAACACTAATGCTCCCACTTAAAATTAGGTCACGCTGGTAACTTGTAGAGTATATGTCAAAATAAGTTTATCCAATTACCCTCTGGAAGACGTATATAGATATAGACACAGATACATAAATTTACACATACATACATACAACTATGTAGACATATAGGTATATATGTATTTATATATACAACAAGAAAACTTATAGTATCTTGTAAGAATTCCATTCTAAGTATTATATGAAATGCAGAAGCCATAAAGTTTAACTATATTAAAAAAAACTAAGAACTGTGGCAAAGTAAAAGACATGATAAGCAGAGTGAAAGTACAAATGACAAATAAGGAATACTTCGAATTTATAGAATAAAAAAGAATACTATCTACAAAATATGCAGAATTTCTACAAATCAATAACATGAAATATAAAATAATAATCAAAGGATTCCACAACAAATTAAGAAGAAATATAAATGAATAATAAACATTCAAAACCAACGGAAATATTCTATAGCAACAAAATATAGATTGGAATAATTATGCACAATGACCAAAAGTCTAGAATCATTCTGAATCCATTTCTTTATCACCTTTAAAATAATTAACCAACCTGGGCCACTTTAATTGAATTCTGGGTAGAGCCACCAGCATGATATTCAACTTTGAATTTTTTTACAAGTTCATCAAACCTAAAAGGAAATCACAGTAGAAAAAAGTAAGTTAGCATTTGTCAGTTGTCACAATGCAAATTTTTCTGATTAGAAGTTCGTTAAATCACATTTAGTGAAACTTTTCGAACTACATAATTATGTTGAATAAATGAATTAAAATGTTGTATAAAAAACAACTTTGCTAAATTTCCATACTTAAGAAATTTTTTCCACAAGTGTAAAACTATAAGAATTTAAAATATATAGGCTGACCATAATTAGCCATTAAACTAAACAAAAGGTAAAAATAACTTTATAAATTATTATTTATAAGCAATGCATATCTTCCTATATTAAGTACTGAACTCTAAAATCCTTACAAAAGTATATTCTAATAAGTTCTACAAGTTTTAGATATCATAAAGGCTATTACTTTATAACTTAAAGAATTGGGAAATTACATTGGGTTGTATGATTCTAGGAAAGTTGCTTAGTGACACAATTTCTGTATCTACCAAATATAGGGACAGAGAGAGATGAACTAAACCTTTGATACTTCATTACTTTGGGATCTGATAAAAGCTAGAGAACTTCTCTCCAGGAAAATACATATACTAGCTATACATAAAACTTTTCGTACAAGATGATCCATATAAACCCCTAGAATTACACATACCCAGACAACGGGCTATGGATACTGATTCTAATAAGTCTCAAACTACATAGCATTTTAATAATCCAGATCATAAGTCAATATTCCCTACTACATGTCTCTAACATGTTAGATGCTGTCAGAGATAACCAAAGGGCATGCGTATACACTTTAATTTCAAAGGATTTACGACCTTGGAGGGACAAAAGGATGAACACACATGAAAAAGAAAATTTTAAAATACCAAGTTATCAACCAACAAAATGTATGCAATGTAGACAGCAAGTGCTACAGAAGATCAGTCAAAGAAGAGAGAGATTGGGATGTGAATAGAGTATTCAAAAAAGATGCCAGTCTTGGAAAGTATTTTCAAAACTTTAAATTTTTAAGTATGGAAGTAGATCTTTTTACTCAAATGAAACATTTCACAGAACTTCAAAATATAAAAAGAGATAAATACAGAAATGATTACATTAGGAGTAGGAAAAATACAGTTATTATACCCACTTCCATACTTTCAATTGCCTTCAGATCCCATCTATAAAACCCTGAGATGCCAATAAACACAATTAGCAAACCTGCCAAAATGTTAACAGCAGTATTTGTATACCACTGATAATATTCACCTAATACTAACAGGAGAGAAAACAAAGTACACAGTCCCAGATGCAGATAGGTGGCTAGTTGTGGTAGTTGAGGAAATGTTCTCTTCTAATTACTTTCTGAACTATGTAACAACTAAGAGTGATATTAGAGATTGGAGATGAGAGGAAGAATGAATAGACAAAGTAAACATACAGTGATCAACTGCCATGTTCGTTTGAGGCCATTCCACTTTCAAAAGCCAATTTCTCCAAAAAGATATGTCCCCCCAGAACCTGTGAATGTAATCTTATTTGAAAAAAGGGTCTTTGCAGACATAATTAGTTCAGGATCTTAAGGTAAGATCCTCCCTCCTGAATTACCCAGGTGAGCCCTAAATCCAATGCCAGGTCTTCTTACAACGGTCAAAAGAGAAGACAGAGAGGAGAAGACCAGGTGAAGATGGAGAAAGAGATTGGAGTGATATGGCCATATGCCAAGGAAGCCAAGGAATGCCAACACCCACCAAAAGCTGGAAGAGGCAAGGAAGGATTCTCCCCTAGGCTGGTCACAAGGAGTGCAACCATGCTATCACCTTGATTTCAGACTTCTGCCTCCCAAGAATACTGAGAGAATAAATTTCTGATGTAGGCCACCCAGTTTGTTGTTGCTACAGCAACACCATGCTTTCTCACTTTCTCAAGAACTCTCCTTAAATTACAGTCTTCTGCGTTCCATCATCATTAATTTCTTCCAATGACTAAGAATCAAACAACTACAATATTTCGGGAAGAACTAGATGGGCCTAAATTTATTATAGCTACTAAAATTACAGTAAACCAACTATATACTCTATTGTTTAGTTTGTTTTCATTATCAAATTCTACCAGCACCATCCAACAGAACTTTCTGACTCCAGTGGGAATGTTCTGTATCTGTGCGTCCAGTCTGACAGCCACTAGCCACATGTGGCCATTGAACGCTTGAAAGGTGGCTAGTGTGACTGATGAGTTTTATTTTAAATAAAATTTTAAATTTTACTGAACTTTATTAACTTAAATTTGAGTATCTATAACCTCAAGGCTAGCCGCTACCTTACTGGACCAATATGGTTCTAGACTATTACTGTTTAAAAAGAACACTAGCGGGCTTCCCTGGCGGCGCAGTGGTTGAGAGTCCACCTGCCCATGCAAGGGACGCGGGTTCGTGCCCCGGTCCGGGAAGATCCCACATGCCGCGGAGCGGCTGGGCCCGTGAGCCATGGCCGCTGAGCCTGCGCATCCGGAGCCTGTGCTCCGCAACGGGAGAGGCCACAACAGTGAGAGGCCCGCGTACCACAAAAAAATAAAAAATAAATAAAAAGAACACTAGCTTTGCAAGACGGTCTAGAGAAAAAGGATTATGTGACCAAATAAGCGCAGGAAATGTGTGTACTCTATTTCCATCTTGAATTTTCATAGTGCATATCAGCATATTAAAGGCACTGAGATACCTGAAACAAAGAAACCTGTTTGACTATTATTCAGTTTTTCTAAAACTTACAGGATTTCAGAACCCTCTGACATTTTAGGGTGAGGTTCCACAGCTAACATTTACATAGTATTTATTATGTGTGCCAAAAATTATTGTTTTAAACATTTTATCCAAATCATCATTTTTTAAAATGCTCACAATTTTATGAGGTGGGTAATATTAGCTCCTATATTTTTCAATTTTTTTTTTCAATAAATACCTGCATACTTCAGTACAACACAATCCACAGTTAGTTGAATGCATGGATGTAAAACCATGGACACTGAAGGCAGACTGTAAAAGTTATGTGAAGGTCTTCCACTGCGAGTTGTTCAGGCAGGACAGAAGGGGAAGAGGGGTGTCAACACACCAATCCCCCACCCCTCTGTGGAAAAACCCGGGGACAGTTATCTCTGCCTCAAAAGTAAAGGAAATGATAAATGACTCACCCAAGGGCAGGATGCTAAAGCAGTGTGGATAAAGTCAGGACTCAAACCCTAGTTCTTTTGATTCCACATACTGTGATCTCTAACCAAACGCAAACTTTTCCCCACACTTAAAGACCTGTAAACTATATTTATTGAAAAAAAAAATCCACTTATTAAGTGGATCCAACACAGTTCAACCTATTCTGTTCAAGGGTCAACTGTAAACATGATCAATTTTAAAACTAAAAGGGATAAACAAAATGCCTTTATTTAACAAACAAGGAAAGTGAGGCATAAAGTATTTGAGCAGACTGTCCGACAAAGGTCACATACAACGCACTGGTTAGTCAAATTCAGAACTGCAGTCTCAGAATTACTTGTTAATTACAAACACAAAGAAATCAGTGTATTTCTCCTCATTCCAGTCAACTAAGAGTTTTCTACAGAAACCAAAATTTTGCTTATTAATATTATCTCTAAAATTAGTTCAAGGGGTATAAAAATTATAGAACCTCACATTTCAAGATGGAAGAGGAAGCATATGCTTGCTTCCTCTTCCAAATCTGACTGAATGTCAAAAAGTATGTTTTTTATATATGAAAATGAACAAAAGTGTAACAGCACCACAAATCAAGGAAAGATGCCACGCACAGACAACGAATTTGAGAAACAACAAATTCTAATTTAACAGAAAGCTAATGTAACAGATTGACAAAGCAGTGACAGGAGACATAACAGCAAGAGCAATTTCTTTAAATACTGTATTTGGTATACGAGGGTAGCTGCCCAACCACTCCTACCTTACCCACAAGAGTCAGATCTGTTTAAATGCTCTAATCTGTCATGAAAAAGTCCTCTTATATCTAGCAACTGTGTAGATTCCTCACCTGCCTTTTTCTTTTCTTTTTTTGATAACAGCTTTATTGAGATATAATTCACATATCATACAATTCAACCATATGAAGTCTACAATCTGATCATTTAAAATATACTTATACTTCTGTAACCATCATCACTATCAATTTTAGAATATTTTCATTAACTCAAAAAGAAATCCCATACCCTTTAGCTATCAAAACCCAACCTTACATCATCTTCCCCCGACCTAAACAAACACTAATTTACTTTCTATCTTCTGTATTTCTACTTATTCTGGACATTTTACATAAATGGAATAATATATATGTGTATGGCATTGTTGACTGGATTCTTTCACTTAGCATAATGTTATCATGATTCATATATGCTACAGCATATATAAGTACTTTATTCCTCTTTATTGCTGAATAACATTCCATTATAGATATACCATATTTTGTTTATCCCTTCATCCAACAATGGACACTTGGGTTGCTTTCATCTTTTGGCTATTGAGAATAATGCTGCTAATGAACATTCATGTACGAGGTTTTGTGTAGATATAACATTTTCATTTCTGTTGGGTATATATGTAGGAGTAGAACTACTGGGTCAAATGGTAACCCTAAGTCTAACTTTTTGAGGAACTCTCACACTGTTTTTCACTTTCTGCCTAGTTTTTTCTCAGAGACAATTCGGGGAAACCTACCTGTCTAGTTATATGACAAAAGAACAATTAGAGAATAACAGAGTTGCTATAAATTAACTTTACCACCATTGAATTTTTTAAATTAATAGTTGAATCAATGACATAAGCAATTAAAATGGACAGAGATTTTAAAAAGATGAAGAGAACGAAACTGAAATTAAGAAAAATACCCAGAAATTGGATCAAAAATGTAAGAGATGAAAAGTATGAAAGAAAACTTAAAAGGAACAAAGAATGAATTAGATGGTCCAAGATCCATTTAACATGAATGACAGAAAAGGAGAACAGAGATAATAAA